AATAATAGTTAAATAATAATAATAATAATAATAATAATAATAATAATAATAATAATAATAATAATAATAATAATCACAATAATAATAATAATAATAATGATAATAATCACAATAATAATAACAACAATAATCACAATAATAACGATAATAATAATAATAATTATAATAAAAACAATAATAACGATAATAATAATAATAAAAATAAAATAATAATAATAAAATAATAACAATAATAACTATAATAATTGTGTGCTTTGCGTTCCTGTAAATATAATTATTTTTATAATAACCTTTAACATTTTTACATATAATTATTAATTAAACATATAATTAAATATAAAAATAATAAATCCTAAAATACAATAATATAAAATAATAAATATAAATTATTTCTTTCTTTAGTGCTACTTTTATATACCGTAGTTACATATTTTGCATGTCTTATTTTCTATATATTGTTATATATTGTAATATAATGCACATATATTTTAACATTATTATTATTATTTCCATTTCTTATAATGTCTCTGTTCAGGAATAAAGTATAAAGTATTTCTGCTTGTGATTTAAATATTTAAAGTATCTGTTCATACATTTTATGTGTGTGCTGTGGAGGACACTACGGCTGTATTTTATTGTGAAATCCTGTATAATTAAACACAAAAGCTGAAGCTTACAGAGGATGTTAAAGGATGTTTTACACCAACTGAAAGTATTCTCAATCATGAATCTGTTATTTATTTCCCTAAACACCTCGAGGGTTGTAAGTTACATGAAACATTTTCAGCTGTGACTCCCGTGTGTGCGCAGCCATCAGACACAGATTTACTCCAGTTATATTCTTAAATAAAACAAGTGCTGGAATCACATACACGAGTTTCTTTTTGTATAATAATGCAAATAATTCCAGTCCCTGTATGGAGGGTTTACACTGCACACTGATCATTCCTATATCACCACCAACAGGTCAAAACCTTCACTTTTAAACTGACTTAGTGACATATCTAATGGATATTTCATATTATATTCAATGTGTAACAATAACAGGAGAGAACAGCTGTTAAACTGTACAATGAACAGAGAACTCTAACTGCAGGAAGTTTGTGTTAAACAAACACTTTGGATGAACTGTGTCCTGTGAATATTGATCAGATGAGTTTTCCTGATCATTTTAGGAATTGTTTATACAATTCTTGTCTGTATTGTGTATTTTTATACTTTTAATAGTCATACATGCTTCTTTTTTTGACAAATTCAGTGTCTTCTTCTCATTGTTGAAGCTCTGTGAATATATCTTGTCTTTATATCTTAGATAATAATTTAAACCTTTGCAGAAAAGAGATTAAATGCTGAGATATAGGCCTACTGTGTATACTACCTGTACTATATAATACGTGGTCTGAGAAGAGCAAAGAAATCATCCTATAGTCACATATTGTCACACAAACATCCTCAGTGCGTGTTAGGAACTGTATCCTCAACATTTTAACAGTCACGTTTTAAGAGAAAAATAAAGTGAAGTTAGACTTAAATATTCCCTCCAGACATGTTTAAGACATACAATAAATACTCTCTGAATAATAATAATAATAATAATAATGTATCTGGGGTTTTTATTCCACAAAAAAGTTTAATTACCTTGTTAAAAATTCTTATAATTACATCAACTCCTTCTCTTTCATTGAAAAATCCAGAATCTGTGCAAATATTTTTAGTTTCAAAAGTTGAACAGCTGTAAACAACACGAGCACTGGAGGCTTCAGGTGTCCACGTCACATGTGTCAGTTGCATACTGGACCACGACGGGCTTCCAGACGAATCTGTACGTCAGATTTACGCTGAGCACAGAAACTTTCCACTTTCAGCAGAAGAATGTGAGAACAAACTGCTGGTACATCATCCTGCACAGTGAAGCTCAAACAAACCACATGAACAAGAAGATAAACACATTTTTGCCAGAGGTTGACTTTAAACTGAAGCTGCAGGAGGCAAATATATATAAAAACACACATCAGATCACACAGGAGACAGAGGAAAGGAAAGATCTGAACTCAAACCGCTTTTATCTTTGCATAAAAAGATATTCTTTATTAAAACTGCATGCATTCCATTATTCCCTGACCAGAGAGGGAGAGCTGAGGTTGAAAAAGGAAGCAGTCAGACAGGAAACAGTCGTACAGTGGTTCATTCGATGGGACCAGCCAGCACAGTGTCCAAGGCGCTCTGAGCCTCTTTGATCTGCTGCTGCAGTCTCTGCTTCATCGCCTCGTTCTGGGCCTTCTTCAGCATGTCCTGCATGTCTCTGATGGCGGCCCGGTAGCCCGGGGCGTTGTGAAACACTCGGATGGCCTTGTCGCCGCAGCACGCCAAGAATCGCCCGTTAACGTCAAATCTAAGGTCGTCGATCTTCCCGCTGTGGACGCCGTGCAGCTCCTCCTCCAGCTCGCCGCTGGCAGCGTTGTACATCGCCACGTTGGAGCCGTCACTCACCGCCACCACCCGGCCGTCCGGGGACAGAGCCACCCGGCTGCCGTCGGAGGACGCGCAGGGGACGGTCTTCAGGAGGTACGGGTCCTGCTGCTTCTTGTACTCCACATCAGTATTCCACAGCTTCCACGTGCCGTCTTTGGAGACAGTCACCATTCTGATGATGAAAGTCAAACATTTACATTAAAGAGAGACACTGGGGACAAAGACTCTCTAAAACACTGGCAAACAGCCGACCAGTACCAACTACAAGTAAAACTTCTGGTGATAAAAAACGTGCACAGAAAAATCTCTGATAAATGATTATCTCCTAATTGTGTTTGATAAAAGCTACTAAAAATGTTTTGACCCTGCGTAGAACTCTTGTAATTAGTATTAAC